GAATTTTTGTTAATGTACTGTTTTTTGGTGTGAGGTGAGTGTGCCATGAATGTTTGGTTCTTTTGTTGTGTGGTGAGTGTGCTGTTAATGTATTGTGCTTTTGTGTGGCGAGTGTGCTGTGAATGTATTTTTTTAGTTTGAGGTGAGTGTGTTGTGAATGTATTGTTCTTTTGGTGTGGTGAGTGTTCTTTTGGTGTGTGGTGAGTGTGCTGTGAATATATTGTGCTTTTCGTGTGGTGAGTGTGTTGTGAATGTATTGTTCTTTTGGTGTGTGGTGAGTGTGCTGTGAATGTATTGTTTTTTTGGTGTGTGGTGAGTGTTCTCTGAATGTATTGTTCTTTTGTTGTGTGGTGAGTGCGCTGTGAATGTATTGTTCTTTTGGTGTGTGGTGAGTGTGCTGTTAATGTATTGTTCTTTGGGTGTGTGGTGAGTGTGCTGTTAATGTATTGATATGTATTGATCTTTTGGTTAGGGTGCTGTGAATGTATTGTTCTTTTGGTGTTTTGTGAGTGTGCTGTGAATGTATTGTACTTTTGGTGTGTGATGAATGTGTTGTTAATGTATTGTTTTTTGGTGTGAGTTTGCTGTGAATGTATCGTTCTTTTGGTGCATGGTGAGTGTGCTGTGAATGTATTGTTTTTTGGGTGTGTGGTGAGTGTGCTGTGCATGTCTTGTGCTTTTGCTTTGCGTATTCTCATAGTAACCAGATTGCTTTCTCTTTCAGGTCGTGTTATGTTTATTCCCAAATGTCTTCTCAAGTGCTTTCTCAGTTGTGCTGCGATATGGCACGGTCCGTATCACAGTTGTGTACTCGGTCGTTCGCATGTGTTGTGGGCCTAAAGAGACTATATCTAGATACAAACGAACAGTTATAGTTTTGCACGCGTAGTCTCAGTGTGCTTGCGAATGTTCAAATGTCCACGTGTGAAAACCACAGGCACACGGTATGTCTTCGCAGAGGGGAGTCCACGTCACGCACAAGCCAGTCACACATCCTACAAGACTAGACTAAGCTAAACTAAACTATAGCAAGACGAGCTCTCGTATGCACGGTATGCGCTGTGCCTGTGTGCTCGCATCAGTACTCACCCTGTTGCCATGACAACCCGCAGGGCAAGCACTGCCCCCAGCGACACTGCGAGAAGGCCAAGTCATCGGAAGTGATCTGTGAGCCCTGGCGCAAGGGCTATTGCTACAAAGACCAGTGTCCGCACCTGCACCATATCCCAGAGGTAGGAACGGTCTCTTCCTCTGGACCTCCTTATTTGCCCTGTTTGTTTGTTTGTGTTTGGCTTGTTTGTTTGTTTGTTAGTTTGTTTATTTGTTAGTTTGTTTCAGTTTTACGCGTGTCGCGCTTACGTTCACCTACATAGCACCCGAAGTCGCAATTAACGAGCATGTGCACCTGCGTGTTGTTTGTTGTATACTCTGTGGTTGTGTATGCGTGAAGGTTATCCATCTTCCTATCGATATATAATGTTTGTGCCTTCGTCTAGGAGTGTATGTATCATACGTGTTGCCTCACGGTGGTAGGATAAAATATTAGAAACTGTGTATCGGCGTGCCCGTGGTTAGCTGCGAAGAACGTGTACGGTAAAGACAAAACGTTACATTCAAGTACAATACGTTTAGGGATGTTCTTTCAAGGCTTCACAGGTCGACTCTTGTAGTGCTGTATCTACACACCATCTACACACCGACGACGAATGAGCTGCTATTTATGTTAATTATGTATTATATTGTTTCGAAGGACTTTATAGTGACATTATTTACATCTATATATATAGTATTCACACACTTCTAATTACATACTATAAGTACAATATCACGATCATGTATACAAAATGAATTAACCCGTGTATACTCACACACTGAACAGTACGATGGCACGTTCTGCTACTGGGAAACGACCGACGATGGTTGCGATGCCCCGGAATGCCGCTTTCGCCACCGCGACCGAAAGAAATGGCGCCAAGCGGTTAAGGACAAGGCCACTCAGCGCAGCCAAATGGCGCCACCACCCGTTCACAAGACCTACTCCATCCGTCCCGGAAACGGCCCGGAATACATGTCAGTAGGTAGACGGGAGGAGTACACGCACCCGCCCATGGGTGGGTTTGCCAGAGGTGGGCCTGGGGCTATAGGGCGTGAGAGAGACCCCTACGCACCGTTTGACGAGTCTTATCACGATGGCTATCCCGTTGGCCCAGGCCAAGGGGGCCGTTTGCCCCCGCCCGCATTCGCGCGCGACAGAGAGGCCAGAGAGCGAGATGGTGTAGGTATGGGTATGCGGGAACGCGGCCCGTTGCGCGACGACGACAGGGAACGCCGAGACGAGCGCCGCGGGCTGCGCGCCGCGGACAGAGAGCGCGAGAGGCTTGACAGGGGCGCGCGCGGTCGCCGAAGCGAGCGCGAGCTCAGTCGAGAAGGGCCACCGAGTGAGCGCATGCGCATGCGCATGAGCGATAGGGAACGCGGCATGCCGCCGACAGCACGCTTCGGGGCAGAGGACAGGCGCGCCATGTCACCACTGCCCGTGCGCGCAGCACACAGAGGCCAGCAGCGCATGTCGGTGCATGAGCGATTGGGCCCACCAGTGTCCCGGAATGGACCGGAGTTTCAAAGCGGGATGATGGGGGGCATCCCTCCCGGGTTCCCTCCCCACGCACCGCCACAGCGTATGGAGAGCTACGATGACTCACTGCGGAGCTATGAAAAGCGTAGAGACGACTACGACGACGTGGAATTCCGGGACGAACCGGGACAGATGTTACGGTCGGGCGTATCGCGTGTGCACATCAACCCGAACTTCGGAGGCCCTCGCCCCCCACCCGGGGGCCCAGGCATGCACCCGCGCACACACCCGTCAGCGTACGCAGACGATGTGTACAACATGGACAGAGACGACGGCGACTGGGAGCACAGCTACTACGAACACGACCGGCCACCCCGCGGGTCTATACACAGAGACAGACAGGCAGAGAGAGGGGTTGTTGGGCGTATACGAGGGCCACGGGCACACGCACCCCATCCCACCGCACCCCTCAGCCCACCACACGCGCGGGGCATGAACGGCCCACGCGGCAGAGGACCTGCGCCAATGAGAGGGCGAGGCGGAGGGTTTATGGGGCCACAGAGACCCCTGCCTATGGGGCCCATGGGGGGTCTGGCAAGACCGTCTTTGCTGCCGCTGCCACCACCTGAGCATCGCGTGGGCGGGCATATTAATGGGTATGTGAAACCGGGGAGGGGTGCGAGAGCCAAGCCAGGCAGGGGAGGCAAAATGGGGGGCAAAGTCAACAAGGCAAAACCTGTGCAGAAGGGCGTCAAGCGCAAACTAGGAGACGCAGGTGCCACTCAGAAGGCCACGAATAAGAGAGTGGCCAAGGCAAACGGACAGGTCGATAAGCAGACGACTGGGGGGGGGCACGCAGAGGACACTGCACACGACCAGAGCCAGCCAGCCGACGGACACAGCACACACACCCATGCGCACGAGCACATGGCAGACGACACCCGCGATGCAGCGGAGACGGAGCGACGCGAAGGCGACGGCGAAGGGCTGGCGATGCGCAGTCGAACGAATACAATGGGCACAACCGGGTCAAAGAGAAACGACTCAGACGACATGGACGACAGCGACGACGACATGGGCGACGACAGCAACAGGGGTGCGCGATCGTTCAGGAATAGCAATCGCAAGAGAGTCAAGACCACGCCGTCACCCACGCCAGATGCCTATGCCGCGGAGGTGGCGGGGGAGGAGGAGATCGAATGAGGCTATAGTAAATTAGACTAAATAAATATATGTGTGGAGTGGCGGAGACTATATGGACATCGAATAAGGCTATAGTAAATTAGACTAAATAAATATATGTGTGGAGTGGCGGAGACTATATGGACATTGAATGAGGCTATAGTAATTTAGACTAAATAAATATGTGTGGAGTGGCAGAGACTACATAATTGGACGTTGAATGAAGCTATAGTAAATTAGACTAAACAAATATATGTGTGGAGAGGCAGAGACTATTTGGACATTGAATGAGGCTACAGTAAATTAGACTAAATAAAATATAAATGTAGAGTGGTGGTGACTATTTGAACATTGAATGAGGCTATAGTAAATTAGACTAAATAAATACATGTGTGGAGTGGTGGTGACTATTTGGACTTAGAAGGAAGTGCTTTAAACTAGCTATATATAGGTATTGAGCGGTTTGGATTATTATTGAAGTCGACATCTGTGTAGAGTGGCTTGAGGTAATGATCGTATTTTGAGTTGGATACAAAGGTTATCTGAAAAGAGCGGATGTATATGTACTATTTATATATCTTTACTATGTGGCTGTAAATGTACTATTTATATATTTTTATTAAGTAACTGTATATACACTATTTATATATCTTTATTAAGTGGCTGTATATATACTATTTATATATCTATACTTAGTGGCTGCATGTATACTATTTATATATCTTTGAGTGGCTGTATATATAATATTTATATATCTTTATTACGTGGCTGTATATATATACTATTTGTATGTCATTATTGAGTGCCTGTATGTATACTATTTATATATCTTTATTGAGTGGCTGTACATATACTATTTATATATCTTGAATAAGTGTCTGTATATATACTATTTATATATCTTTATTGAGTGGCTGTATATATACTATTTATATATCTTTATTAAGTAGCTGTATATATACTATTTATATATCTTTACTGTAAAGTGGCTTCATAAAGTGGCTGTATATATACTATTTATTACGTGGCTGTATATATATACTATTTGTATGTCAGTATTGAGTGGCTGTATATATACTATTTATATATCTTTTTTGAGTGCCTGTACATATACTATTTATATATCTTGATTAAGTGTCTGTATATATACTATTTATATATCTTTATTGAGTGGCTGTATATATACTATTTATATATTGATTAAGTGGCTGTATATATACTATTTATATATCTTTATTGAGTGGCGGTATATAGACTATTTATATATCTTTATTAAGTAGCTGTATATATACTATTTATATATCTTTACTGTAAAGTGGCTTCATAAAGTGGCTGTATATATACTATTTATGTATCTTTATTGAGTGGCTGTATATATACTATTTATATATCTTTATTAAGCGGCTGCATATATACTATTGAAATCTCTTTATTGCTGTATGTATACTATTTACTAATCATTATTGGGTGGCTGTATATATAGTATTTATATATCTTTATTGAGCATCCGCATATATACTATTTATATATCTTCCAAAGGGATTGCGCTATACAAGAGGTCTGGTGAAAGTATTTGCGACCCATAACCATCATGTTCAACACGTGCAGCAAGCTCACGTTTAACGCAACGGGAAAAACATAGAAGGTGCTCGATATATACATTGCACATACACAAAGCCTTCTGAACATGGACAGTGAAGTGTGGCTTAAGTCATTTAACAGCTGATGGCGTTTTCAGAAAGCCAAGGTGTTTTTAAGGTCAGATGTAGTCCACTTTATTGCAAGGTGCTTTTAAGGCCAGATGTAGTCCACTTTATTGCATGGTGTTTTTAAGGTCAGATGTAGTCCACTTTATTGCAAGGTGCTTTTAAGGCCAGATGTAGTCCACTTTATTGCATGGTGTTTTTAAGGTCAGATGTAGTCCACTTTATTGCCCAGTGGTTCGTCAGATCAGTCACTGTTAGGTTAGGACATCCAAACGCTCATGCGCCTATAAGCCCCTTGACCTTCTGATTTATTACGACCTTTCACCGCCAGCCTATGACTTCACATGAAATGTTCGGCATTCCAATTGTCTTTGTCATTCCCTCAGTGTCTCTATGGGACATAACCCTTCACGTCCAAGAATGCCCTGCGGCAGTGATGCTTACAGCCGCACCAGATATTTAACCATGGCAGGTGCCACTTGTAGAATTTTCACCCGTGCTAGCTTACCGAGGACCGATCAACTGCAGAAGTACTGAGTGTTCTCACTATCACGTGTTACAATGTGTATGTTACCGGCATGGATCAACTATTAGTCTCTGACAGATCGCCACACGGATGACTTCCGGTGATATGTAGTAACTGACCAATAGGCCTATAAAATATCTATATATATATATATATATATATATATAAATATATATATATATATATAAATATATATGTAAATATATATATATACATACATAAACATATACATACACACACACACACACACACATATATATATATATATATATGTGTGTGTAAATGTATCTGTATGTGTGAGTGAGTGTGTCTGTATCAGCGTGTCCAAGGCGGGGCACTTCGGTAGGAGAATTTTACCACCCGTCACGGATCCGTCACGCTCTTGCTTTAGTGTCTGTCCGTTATCCTCCACTGCGATGTTTGTTATAGACATATGCGGAGTCTTTGCTGACAATGGAACTATCTGTCCTGCCGTGTACATATACCATCTATGACCGTGCATAGAGGGCTTGTGCATGTGCATACAGTGCACATGCCAGTACGTGCGGATAAGAGTAGCATGCAGATGCGAGTTTCCTTGTACCGTTGTAATTGGCTGGCGCCATCTCAATTGACAAGTATATTTGTGTGATGTATTAAGTACATATGGTGTTGTATTAAATACACGTGTGTTGTATTAAGTACACGTGTGTGTTGTTTTAAATAGACTTGTGTGGGGACTTGAGCGTCTCACGCGGCACTGTGTAAGCATGCCCCATGCCAATGCCATGTTTCGCTTCGCCAACTCTCAGACACGAGTCTCGAGGTGCACGCACGGCATGCACTGTGCCTGGGCCACATGTGTTCAACAACATCACCAGCACCACACACATCACCCGAGTGCTCATTCACTCGTTCACTCATTCTCCTCATTCGTACTGCCGTGTATGCTTATGAACATGTTGTGCACATCCCTGCTGTGGTTGTGTGTTTTACGCCCATGTTGTGGCGATGTGGCGTATGCTGCCCTATCAGACCTTTGCTCCAGGCAGGTGTAGCTCAGTACTTCTCTCAGGCGACTTGACAATAGTCCACCACCACAGCATCATACGCCTGCTTCTACGCCAGTCTTGTTTGTCACATTGTCGTATTTGACGTGTTTTAGTCTTGTGTGTCATATGCCGTTGCCCTATTGATTGTCCCCCATTCACTCCCGACGGGCAA